TTTATGGCTGCCAAAAGGAAAGCCGGTTCCTTCATTCCCCCATTTTCTTTTCTGGAAATTCCAATCATGGAATTATTGTCTCTCTAGTATCCCCATCAGGGAGTGATAGATATTGGCATCCCCATAAGCCGCCCCCTGGCAAGGTCCTGCCCATCATTGACCCACCCTTGTCTGGGTTTCACTCTCATCCTGGAAGGCTCTGACAAGATGTTAGAATGCACGGAATCTCTTCCTGGGAGACAAGTTTTCCCTCTGGCTGAAGCCTTTTCCTTCCCCCAGCTTGAGATTCCGGGGGAGTTTCCCATTTCTTTGGTGTCCCTTGTTTTCAAAGTCTGACAGTCATATTGTAAGGCACAGTATCTCCTTAGAATTCTTCATTTCTGCCATCCCATTACAGAAGGAGGGGAGCAGGTGGAGAGACAAAGGAGAGAAAAAAGAAAGAACGGGGAAAACTTATGGGGCAAAGAAACAAAGAAGGTGAATTTCATTCCTGGTGATATCCTGGTAATAACTCAAGACAATAATGAGGATGTTCAAGAACTGTAAATAAAACCAGAGGTAAATAGCAATCATCCAAACCACAGCTGAGGGTGTGTGGGAGGAGAAGACCTGGAGAAAGGACATCTGAGTCAGCCTGGAGGCTGTGGCATTTGCCCTAAAGGCAGAGCTCAGACCAGGGACAAGCCAGGCCCTGGGAGATCAAACCCTAAGCCGCAGCCATCTTCTTGGGGGTTTGGGGAGTATCAGTTGCCTCCTCTCTGGCTCAGAAATGCTGCCCACAGTTTCCTAACCCAGATCTTGAAGAAGGCTGCAGTCCAGGGACTATCGCAAACCTCTCTGTGTCTACTTCTCCTACTGGTTTGCCCTCCACTCAACATGCAACATAACCATGTGACCTCAGACACCCCTATGTTTTCAAGACCAGTGTCTCTCTCTCCAAAGTAAAGATTTATTGAGTGTGGTAATGTTAATTAATCCCAACAGGAGAATAAGACCACTACCACAATTTAAGCCAAATTTGAAGCAAGCTTGATTTTTATTGGGGTGCACCCAAGAGCTGGCCAGTAACTGCCTCCTAAGTCAGGCTAAAGAGAGCAGCCCCTAAATCCACCTCTTGGACCCCTTTTAAGGAGTAAAATCATGAGTAGTTTTTTCCAGAAGGGAGACAATGGGGCAATATGGAAATTAAAAAAAATACTTTAAAAAATCATGTGGCCACCCACCATGTGATTAGAGAGGGGTCAGGGAGGGTTAGGATATTCTCAAAAAGAATCAAGGTCATGGGGTGGGGAAGGTCGAGTTCCAGGAAACAGAACAAATCACCTGTCATTCAAAATGGAGACAGGCAAGTTCCTCAGTAGCACACATCCGTAATTGAAGGAGGAAATAGAAGTCAAACTGATATATAAAGGACTTACCAATAAACTTCCTTATATTAAGTCACACATAAGTAAAACTTACCCAAAGGACCTTAGCCTCTGAACCGGGAAGTTCAGAGATGGTGCTGGCTTCTAGTGTGGTTCATTAAGTCCTGTGTCTCTTATTAGGAAGCATGTGATTCTGCTAGGCAGGCAGAATGACCTTGGCTAATGGCTGTCCTAAAGAAAAGTCCTGGCTTGCTTTTAATAACTAAGACAGTATCTTACTTAAATCTCCCATATGTCCAAAGTGTCCAAGCTTGCAATTTCCTGACTCCATAAAATTTGTTTAATTGCCCAAAGTGTAATGGCCCATGGTGTAAAAGTGTTTAATTGCCCAAAGTATAGGGTCGTGAGCCCAAATGCAACTCATCTATATAAGCTGTAAGGGCTTTCTGTTCAGTTGCCAGGTTCTCTTTGGATATCAGCCGGAGCCAGACATACACTATTATTAAAGAATTTTTTCTTATTATCTCCTGTGTGCTTGGAGTAAATTCTCGCTGGGAATTTACCATAATTTGCCATAACATAATCCTAGCTCTTAGGAGGCTGAGGCAGGAGGATAGAAAGCTCAAGACCTGTCTGGGCAACAAAGTGTGACTTTATCTCAAAACCACACAAAACGGTAAAGATCGAACCCACTCAATTTTCACGTTTTCACGGTGCTGGCGCCGAGCCCTTCCCCTGTGACCCGTACTGTGTGACCTTGTCAAGTTATGTAAACAGCTTTGTCAAGGGGTGGGTGTGGGCAAGGTCCACACAAATGTGACCCAAATGCAAGAGAGAGCATGGGGATTTGAGAAATGGAGAGGTATGCAACAAATTGGGAGGGACAGTCTCTTGGGCCTGGGGAATTTCAAGTCCCAGCCTGACTTGGCACACCTCAGCTGCCTTCTGCAGTGGACTGGCAATGCTGTACACACTGAGTGCCTTTTGCCCTATGAGAAGTCTGCTTCTCCCAGCAGGATCGCAGAGGATTTTGCCCAGTGCCTGTTTGCACCATGCCTGGGGCTGTACAGGCATGTCCATGTCACTGCATTCTTTCCTTCAGACCTCAGCCCCCCACTTCAGGCTCTCCTGACTTCCTGCCGCACCCACCCCTACAACCAGAACCATCAGAAGGCAGCTATGCTGTGCTGGCTTGCACAAATACAGAGCAGTGAGAGTCCTCTCAGAGAACAGGATTTGTGTTCCCAAGAATGCCTCAGATTTCCCCTCTCATAAAAATGCTTCAGAGAAGACCAACGTGTTCTGCACTTCACAAATGTCTGGGAGATTCTGCTGACCGAAGCCTGAACTTCCCGGTTCTTCCCTTTCCCACATGCACCCCTTCTGGTAACCTGAAAAGCTGGGACAACACACAGGGCATCATCTCTGTTCTGTTGGTTTTAAGATAGTTTCTTAAGTTGGACCCAAAAATGCTTAGTATGTTAGACCCCCGGAAAACTCAGGTATGGGGTCCCAGGCCACAACCTTGGGCACCCCAATCACCAGGCAGATTCGAGAGCTTGCTGCAAATTGCATGAGGCTTTATTGTAACTTAACGAGCTAACCCCATGTTACCTCGGGTCTTTCACCCACCCACCATGGCAGATGGCTAGAAAAGACAGTTCCTAGGGCCTCCCGAGAGATCTTATAGGACAGCGTAAGGGGAGTGTCTAGGGGCACGCACAGGCTCATGATTGGTGTGCCTCCAGGCTTGGAGGGCTTGCCCTGTGTTGATTGGTCAACTGGTTGTTATGGCTCATAGGCCCTCCCAGGGTGGTTGCTATGCTCTCTACGTCATTGCTGTGCGCTTGTCCGTAAAGCACACCCAGAGCCATAAAGCATAGCGCCACCAGCTAACTTCTGATTGGTTCCTTGTCACGAGACAGGCATCTGACTTTCTGGTTTCTAGGACAAGGTCATAGAAGCACATGTTCGACCATTATGGCTGCCAAAAGGGAAGCCGGTTCCTTCAATATAAGTGGACTCACAATTATAAAATACCTTTTAGTGGGAAGGGCGGGCATGGTGGGGCACTCAGCACTCAGAAGGTTGAAACAGGAGAATTGTGTTAAATTTGAAGCCAACTGAGATACATAGAAAAAAATACTTCTCAAAAGAAAATCTAGCAGGGCATTGGTGGTGCACGCCTTTAATCCCAGCACTCGTGAGGCAGAGGATCTCTGTGAGTTCAAGACTAGCCTGGTCTACAGAGCAAGTTCCAGGACAGCCTCCAAAGC